TTTTTTTTTTCATTGAAGAGTTTTAAACAGAGGACTGAGGTGACCTGAATCAGGCTGTCAGAAGACTACTCAAGAGAATGGATGGTGGTTGTGCAGAGAATGGAGGGAAATCAGTGTGGAGACTAACAAGAAATTCAAGCAAAAGAGGGCTGGCTGAGAGCAGTGACTACGGACAAAGCAGCACACAGTCAGTGTTAGAATTCTGGTGTCCAACAGTCTTGACTTAGAACCATTTTTCCATTTATATACTTGGGCAAATTACTTACACCCTTGAGCCTCGGTTTCCTTATCGATCAATGCTTTTAAAGCCACAGCACACAGAAAACACACAACAAATTATGATATACTATCAATACTTTGATAACAAATTCAACTGAATGAGGTTCACATGGGCTGACTTCCCCCCACCACCCCTGCTTACACCAAAATCAACCCTAACATAAGTAATTGTTACCAAGGGCAATTATACACAAGTGCTACAGTGACTCCATCGAAAGAGAAGGATGCTTCTCACCCACCTTACGCTAACACAACGCTCATAAATATACCGAGCAAGGTCTTTTTCTCAAATTAATAAAACTCGAGTTTGCACCTTCAATGTGTGTTTTCACATGCATTCTTTTATTTCCTCAGTGCTTATGAATAAAAATGAGACAAGGAGAATCTTGCGGTTGATCATGATAAAGACTGTGGTGTTACTACCAATTATTTTAACTTTTTCTGTAAATCGCTTTTATTTAAAACTATTAAGGGACGGTACCCTCACTCTGACAGCACTGGGACACCAGGGAACTAAGTTACCAAAAGTTTTCTTTTGTAACTATAGGTTTACAAACATTCAGCTGTCTGCAGTTTCCCCTTACATTTTTTCAGTGTGAAAATTTTTTTATTGAAGTTGGCAGTTAATAGGATATTGGTGACATTAACAAAATAACTGGTTTGGTATCTTGGTTGAGGAAACTAGATTAATATAAGTTTAGGCTTGAACTGATATTAAGAAAACGCATTCTACTCTCTCTAGAATAGTCAGGAAACCTGTACACAGGAGAGGATTATTTTCTGGGTTTTGTTTTTTAAAAATGATCTGAGGCTTGGCTGCATGAAAAAGGGGAGGTGGAAAACTGAGCAGAGAGGTAGATACTTGATGACATTCAGCCCAGGAAGGAAGCGGCAGTACTGAGATCCAAATTCAAGCTCTTCCAGGGACAACACCTATAAACACCCTGGTGTAAAGGTTCTGGATCTGCCCCTGACACTTCTCTTTTCAACAAAGGATGAACCACTCTGAAAACCTATATATTCAATCGTTCAATAATTACTAAGCAGGAACTATAGGCAAGACAAAGTGCTGGGTGCTAGAGGAGGACAAAAGTTAGTGGAATTGCATCCTAACCCTCAAAAAAGCTTGGGTTTTCCTTGTGGCTCAGTGGTAGTGAATCCGCCTGCCAATGGAGATACAGGAGACTAGGGTTTGATCCCTGGGTAGAGAAGATCCCCTGGAAAAGGGCATAGCAACCCATTCCAGCATCCTTGCCTTGGAAATCCCATAGACAGAGGAGGCTGGCGGACTATGGTCCAAGGGGTCGCGAAGAACCAGACAAGACTTAGCAACTAAACAACAAACCTTCAAAAACCTTAGCTGGGCTCGGTGGCATGCACCTGTAGCCCCAGCTACTCGGGAGGTTGAGGCTGGAGAATTGCTTGAGCCCAGGAGTTCTGGGCTGTATGTACTATGCCGATCAGGTGTCCGCATTAAGTTTGCCATCAATATGGTGACCTCTCAGGAGTGGGGGACCACCAAGTAACCTAAGGAGGGGTGAACCAGCCCAGGTCAGAAAGGGAGCAGGTGAAAACTTGCTGATCAAAAAGCTTACCATTCAGTGAGGAGACTAGGTATTCACACATGAAAAGGAGTAAGGCAGACAGAACAAGTGTCAAAAACAAAGAGCTCACTTTCAGTTGGGCTGGTAAGAAAATGCATCACAGCTGGATAACAGAACTGACAGAATTTGCTAGGACAAAAAGCAGGCACAAGAAACCAGAGAACAACATGAACATATGTGTAGGGGCTTTCTTAAAAAAAAAACCATTGTGAAAAATTTCAACATGCAAAACGTATACAGGATAAATGGACTCGCCACTGAGCTTCAACAATCATCAACTCAAGGCCAATTTTCTCTTATAATTACATGTCTGCCTCACAAAAACCCTAAAGGAACCTATTTTCTAATGTTCCTACATTTTTCACTGACTCCATCTTCAGACAAATCCATACCACAGTAGTCTCCACAAGGCTGACTTTCCTAAAGGCCACATACAAATAAAGTGCAAGACTATTTTCAAAAAAATCAACTCTTAATTGTTTGCACAAACCAACGGAACAGTGACAAAGATATTCCAACATGACAAGGCAATTCAGAACGGTTTGCATGTACTTTGAGATTACCTTTTCCATACTTAAGAATTCAATGAGCATGAATAAAATGATGGAGAATTCATGTCCTGAAAACAAGCATCACAGGTGAAGTATCTTGGACAAACCATTTGGGCTCCTGAGCCTAAGTTTCCTTCTCTATACAGAGAGATCAGAAAGATCACCTACTTCAGTTACTTGTGAGAATCAACTGAGTGTGTATGTTAAATGCCACATGATTGGCTCTTTATACTACCCCCGACTGACTTGCGAAGAACTAGTCAGGAAGAAAGCTGCCTTGTTTCCCAATCTTCTCCCCTTTCTCAAGATGATGCCTAGTTTCCCAACCCTCTCTCTCAAGATGATGTAAAAACTTTCTCCATCTCAAAACGTGTTAAAGGTGAGGAGCTAAGCGTTCTGATTTGAAAGAGCTTCTTTCTTCACCTGCAAAGCAAATTAAGGGACCTGAGCTTGAAGCAAGTACTCAGGAGGATAAATCTTTTTTTTTTTTTTAGGAGAATAAATCTTACAGAGTGTCAAACTTCACAAAACACCTCCTCCTTACAACACTGCCCCTCACCTTAACATGCAGAGCCGTCCAACATCACACAAGAGTGTGGCCTACCTAGTAAAACACTCTCCCTATCCCCACTTCTCTGCCGCTGCGCTTACTCTGATGCATCCACAGCCCCTCAACTGCACACTACAGACAGCAGGGCGGCCATCAGGACACTCGGTGGGGCCAGCATGTTAAGAAGCTCAAGATGAGGCATGCAAGGGGCACCTGCACTTGCTTTCTTAACTCTGTCCGTGAGAAAGCGCGAATTCTAATCCGGTGTTCCAAATCACGTGCTATGGAGAGGCAGTTCACGGTTGCTCAAAATAATCAAAGTTTAAACGTCTTTTAAAAAATATATATGTTGTCACAATTATTCATTAAGATTTTCATTCTTCCTTTAGCATTGCTTTCTCTAAGTTATCTTCTCTTTTTTTTTTCTTTTTTGTATGTACGGAACTGAAGTTCCCTTTTGAATGATCTTCTTCAATCCCCAATCCTCTTTCCCTATGAGAAGACATAATGCGTTCCTCACTTATCATAACCCCAGCCACCACAAATCATCCCCTGGGTTTAAAGCCTTCAATCCAAAGCCATTCTTTTCAGGTATTACTCATTTCTTTGCTGTTCCCCTAAGATAATTATAATGTAGTAAGGTATAGCACCTTGCATTTACCCTGTAGTTTGTAAACTTAATTCATTTACTCCTTACAGCTTATGAGAAAGATAATCCTATTTTGTAGGTAAGGGGAAAGGAATGGAGAACTTACTATCTTGTCTACTTATAAAGCAAGTTAAGAGGTGAACCCGACCTCCAAACCAACTCTAAACGCCAAGCTCTTCCCACTCTACTATGCTCTTTCCCAAGAAGGGAAAGCCTATACAGTTCTATCAAAAACCACATTTGCTTCCAAGAGAAAACGATCTTCGAACAATCGCTCTAGATTGCAACCAGATTTTCCATCTCTGCACCTACCATCATCCCATTTCTCGCTTCCTCTCCACTCCACTCCTCATGGATATTATCTTCACTCCTTCAACCCCCTCCAGCATATATTCCACCTCAGCCGGCTAAAGGGAGGTGCATCCCCCTCTCCTCAAACCTCAGCCCTCCCTTCTCAGGACAGGTATAGTTCTCACTCCATGAACTACACAGTACGCTTGTCAGCCCTTAGCAAACTATTTTATAACTTTAATAAAGTCTCTTTAAAATGGACATGACTTGTAGCTCCTTCATCTCCATACTTGCCCCAGGCACCAGGCTACTTCCTATTCTACAGAACAGGGTACCAACACTCACAAAGATTCTGCCCAGGCCCCACTGTCATCAGCGACTTCCTCTCCAAAATCTAGTTATCCAAACACGCTCCCCTTCCAACCTCTTCAGCAGGGTGTACCCTCCAGGGTTCCCCGGACTCTCTCCTTCCGCGGCTTGCCTCTGCCACGTCTGGGCCTCTGCCCACCTCACCAACTCTTCCCTTCACTCCCCGTCCCAGGGGTAAGGAGCAGCCCCAGTGGAGGTGGCTCCTCCTCCCTGACAACTTCCAAGTTCGGCCTCGTATCACCTGTTCTCAGAAGATGCCTCTCGGCCGTGGCCCCCGCGCCTTTGCCTCGTCCCGCCCCTCTTCACCTTGTCCTTTCCTCCTTTCCAAAAGCCTCCCCCTCGGGTCGGTTCCGGAGTGCCCGTGGGAATCCATTTCCCTTGCGTGGGATTCCCACCTCGGGGTCAAGCTCCCCTTTCTCCATCACCTGCTCCGCCCATGACCAGATGACATCCGCCGCCGCCTCCTCCAAGCCCCTCCTCGGACGCCGGGTCCCCGGCCGCTCACCGCCTTCCGCGAGCGCCAGCCGCCCCCTCCGGCGGGGGGCGAGGGGGGCGTGCACCCCTATGCCGCGGTCCCCAGCCCCCCTCCAGCCCCCCTCCAGCCCTAAAGCGCACCTGTTCCTCCTCCTCCTCCTCCCCGGCCGGCCGCGCCGGCGTCCCGACCCCCACCCTCGCCGCGCCCCGGCCTCCCCGAGCCCCGCACTCACCACGAGTAGGTCTGCTCCGCCATGGCGCTGACTCTCGAGGGCTCTGCTGCAGGCTCGGGCCGGGCCGGGCCGGGCCCGGCGGCAGGGGAACAAACGGGCGGCGGGCACGGCGGCGGCGGCTGAGGGGGGCGCTAGGCGGTGAGGCGAGGCCGCTCGGCTCACACCCGCCAAGGGGAGGCGAGGAGGGGCGGGGGGAGAGCTTGGCCCCGCACGGGTCACGTGCCCAAAACACGCTCACGTGATGCGCGCGCCCCGCCCCTCGCGCCGGGCCCATGCGCGGAGACGTCGGTTCCTCGGTTCGAGGCGACTGTTGCTCGCTCGGCTTCTGGCGGTTGCACCGCCTCCCGCCGCTTGGTGCCGCCCCCTCCCCACGCGGGGCGGTCCCCTCGAGGGCCCTGTTCCCTTCCCCTTTCCGAGGGGCTGCTGCAGCCAGCCAGGAGCCCGGTGCGCGTCTGTTGCCTGCCACTCAGCTGTCACTCATCCATCAAGAGTCTGCTGGCCACAGGCTCCCAAGTGTCAGTCAACCTGTCAGCAGGCGGGACGCTGCCTCGTTTAGTTAGTCTGATAGTTGGTTCATTCATTCGTTTAGCAAATAACTCCAAGCAGCCAGCTTTTATTGCGCCCAGGCTCTGTGCCAAGTCCGCGAGGGGCCAAGTCGAATACCCCATGCTGGCCTTCATGTGATCCATCAACAGATATTTATTGGGTGCCAACCATGTATCAATTCATTTTGCTGGGTCTGGCCTCTGAGCGCTTATATTCTAGAGGAAAAGACTTAACAGATAGTCCAAGCCGACAAATAAGTGAAGGTGCTTGCAGATGCTGCTAAGTTTTATGAAGATGATAACACAAAGTAATGGGACACAGCGTGAGTAGGGGTGCAACCTAGTTTCCATGGTGAAGGAAGGCCTGGCAGAGAAGGTGACAGCTGACACCTGAAGGATGAGAAAGAGCTGACCACGCAAGAGCAAAGCTCAGGGAACAGTCCATCTGGAGGCAGACACAGAAGTAAATTTAATGGGGCTAGACCAAAGAACAACAGAGTGAATCTGGGGCTTAGGAGGAGAGAGGAGGGATAGATGAACTGAACACCGGGGCACTGGGGAATGCTTTGCCAGGAATTGATGAGGCAGTCTGAAAGAGTGAGCGTGTTACTAGGAGAAAAGACACTCTTTAGAAAGAGAATGACATGAGGCCAAGTCCCAACGATGTGAAGGCTTGGAGTGAGCTTGGATCCAGGAGTGGGATGGATGATGATTCCTGCTGCGGAGTATTCAGAGAAGAGACTGAAAGACTGCTCTGAGGCTAGACTTTGAAGGGCCTAGGTAAGCCTCCCGGCCACTTACTATGTTCATGAATGAAAACGATCAGTGCAGCTCCAGGCTTTAGAAGCACGCCTGGGCAACAGACACAGTAGACTTCCCAGACCCCCAGTCTCCACAGGGAGCAGAGCTGGCACACCCGAAACTAGTATTCTCAAGATTCTCCGCAGCTGGCCCAATTTCAGGCCGGGATCAAGCACTGCTCCAGTTTCCCAGGACCTGCCCAGCCTTACGGGGGAACACCACGCCCTGAATCTATCTTCAAATGGATCAGTTGGCCACTGCCCATACATCTGCTGCTTGCCTATTCCCCAAGGGGAACCCTTTCATGAGAAAGCCAAATGTACTTTTCCTTCAGAAGCAATCTCTCCTTCCTCCTTCCCCCATTGCCGGCGACCAGGACCAGTTGGGTTCAATGTGTTTCCTGAAACTCCACCAGTGAGTCTGGGGAAGGGGCCAGATGATAAGATCAGGTCCCCCCAGACATTCGGAGGCAGGGCCCCAAGAATATACCAGACCACCAAGGGCCCTTCCTCTGACCTTTCACAGAAAGATACCAGCCTGCAAATACCTGCCCAGCTCTAAATGGCGCTGGATGTGGGGATATCATGGGGAGATGGAAAAGCAAAGAGCCTAAATTTTTGATGTTCATTTAGTGCTTACTGCTTTTCCAGATGCTCTTGCAGAATGCCAAGTGTACCCTTGAATGTGACACGTATTCATTCTGAGTCTCAAAAGCGTGAGACATCGGGGCCTTGAGAAAAGCTAGAAGCTACCAACACAAATGGCTTTGGGAGGTGAGGAAGTTCCTTCCCTGGAGAGCTGAAACCAAAACAGATGAGAAATAAAAAGGCACACTGCGCCCCTGGGCAATTCACTTGGGTTTTCATTCCCGGTGAGTCAGAGGATGCAAAGCCAAGAGAAAACTCAAGTTTTGGAGGGATGGAACAGAAGGTGCTGATGAAAGAAAGTCAAGGCCTTCCTAGAAGCAAAGGGACCCTTCTGGGCCCTGAGAAGAATCCACTGGAAGAAAGGGGCGAGAAGGGTTCTGGGAGAAAGTATGGGGTGAGAAATGAGAAGAAAGGTTTCCTTCTCTTCCATGTAAACTAGAGGCCCCTCCAAGTGTCTCTTGGGAAAACATGTGAACGCGGACCATTATAGGAAGCCAAACAGCACTGGGCAGGGCCAGAGGACACCCAGGCCATGGAGGCCTGTGTAGGTGGTACAGGCAGATGGAGTGTGCGCCCAGAAACGGGTGGCTGGAGTATGTCAGGCTGAGGTTGCCCAGATGCAGAAGGCACCTCCAGGTGCCAGTCAGGACTGCTGCAGCTCGAAGCCTCCCGGAGAAGGCCAGGCTGCAGTAAATCTCAAGTCTGTGCATCAGCTGGAGGCTGCCCAGCCTGGAGCACCTGGGGAGTCACTTTCAGTCCTTCTGCCAGCAGCACTCAGCTCCAAGCTGGAGCAGCCCCAGGTGGTATCCGTGGCACCTCTGGGCCTCAGCCGGGGAGTCAGGTGTGCCTGGCAGGAGATGCAGGCACTGGCTCCCCCCAGGAGGGGTGCCCAGCTCCCCGCACCCCACCCTCCACCGCTGCACAGGTGAGAGGGCCACAGCTTGTGAAACTTTGGTTGAAAGAGGCAATGGCAGTTCCTCTAATTATCACCACGGTAATTACAGGATTGCTCCTCCTACCCAGTGTGTTCAAAAGAGACTTGGTGAGTCTCCCCATGACGCGTCACCCGCCTCAGGTGCAGACTCCAGGGAGCAGGCATTGCCAGGTTTGACTGGGCTGCGTAGGTGCTGCTTCTGAGAGGGTCAAGGGCTCAGATCTGACCGGCCCCGCCTGCCTCTCCAGCCCCCTTCTCACCTCTTTCCAACACTCCCTTCCAATACACACACACACACACACACACACACACACACACACACACACAGAGTGAACTGCTTGCAGCTTCCAAAGGGTTGTGCTTTCTGCTTCTTAACAGCTGCTCGTAAGCTTGAGGCTTGATTTCTATGTCCCCGGGATTCCCTGGTGGCTCCGTGGTAAAGAATCCGCCTGCCCATGCAGGAGACACAGGTTCAATCCCTGGGTCAGGAAGATCCCATGGAGGAGGAAATGGCAAGCCACTCCACTATTTTTGCCTGGAGAATCCCACAGACAAAGGAGCCTGGCAGCTGCAGTCCGTGGGGTTGCAAGAGTCAGAAATGACCGAGCGAGTTCTATGTCCCCTCCTAAAGAAAGTCTCACTTGACCAAATCCAGGCTGAGTTAGACACTCCTCTCCCACATTCCTGCAGACCCCTGAGCTTCCCCCGTGTCCTTTAACACTTAGCACAGTGAACCGTCACTGCCTGTTGACTTGTCATCCTTTCCCTTGGACTGTACACGCCTTGTGGGAAGGGACTGTGGCCTGTCGCCAGTTTCACCTTCGGATCCCAGTGCAGAACTCAGCACAAAGAAGCTCAAAGTTCGTGGAATGAATGCTTGAGTGAGCAAAAAGGCAAACCAGGTTTCAGAACAACTGGTTCTATGTGATAGTCTCATGACTCTGCCCATGATCTCGAATTCGGCATCCCTTCCTGTTCCCCACGACCTCCTCTTTGAGAAGGAGAAGCCTTAAGGGAAGAGAAATCCCTCTTAGGGACGTGGGGAAGACAGAAGATTGGAGGGAAGGTACATCATGCTGAGCTTATTAGGTATCAGATCACTTGCAGTCTTTGATTATGAGTTCCTCTTAAAAAAAAAACCTTTACTTTTTAAGACCAATTTTAGGTTTACAGAAAAATTGATGGGAAAGTTCAGAGAGTTCCCACACACCCCTTCTTCCCCAACAAGGTTTCCCTTACGATTTACATCTTGCATGAGCATGGTACATTCAGTACAGCTGATGAACTACTAATGGTACACTCTTATTAACTAAAGCCTGTAGTTTATATTAGGGTTCACTCTCGGTGTTGTAGAGTCTATCTGTTTTGACAAATGTATAATATGTATTCACCATTGTAGAGAATGCTTTCAATGCCCTAAAATTCCCTTGTGCTCCTCTTATTCATCCTTCCCTCCCTCCCTCCCACCCTCCCACTCCCCCCGCCCCCACTCACTAAATCCTTGGCAACCACCAATATTTTCATTGTCTCCATAGACTTGCCTTTTCTAGAATGTCATACAGTTGGAATCATACAGTATGTAAACTTTTCAGATAAGCCTTTTTTTTTTCTTTCCACTTAGCAATAGCTAAGTCTTCTCTGTCTTTTCATGGCTTGATAGCTTTTCTTTTTTTAATCACTGAATTATATTCCGTAGTATGAATGTACCAGAGTTTGCTTATCCATTCACCTATTGGAGAACATCTAGGATGCTTCCAGGTTTTGGCAAGTATGAATAAAATAGGACAAATATCCTTGTGCAGGTTTTTGGAATACCATGGGATTTTTAGAAGTGTGCTGTTTAATTTCTAAATATGTGGGGCTTTCCCAGTTATCCTATGATTATTAATTGCTGATTTAATTCTGCTGTGGTCAGAGCACATCCTCTGTAAGGCTTCAACCTTCTGGAATTTGTTAAAGCTTGTTTATGGCCCAGTCTTTGACTTATTTTGGTGAATATTCACAGATATTTTGGAATCTACACATTTTTTTATGTTCAATTAATTTATGGCAAAAGAGACAAGAATATACATGGTGAAAAAAAACAGTCACTTTAATCAGTGGTTCCGGAAAAACTGCACAGTTACATGATATTAGAACATTTTGTCACATA